AATATTTTTTTAGTGGGGGGGGGGGGATGGAGGGGTAGTAGGGTGGATGGTAATGGAAAAACTGAAATTTAAAAAAAAAAACTTTTTTTGGAAAGGGGGTGGGGTGGGTTGGTGAGGGTGAGAAAGGTTGAGAAAGAGCTTTGGAAAATGTTTTCCCTTGTTTTGATAAGGAAAATATTTTCCTCCAATTGGAGGAAAATGAATTGATAAAGAAAATATTTTCCAAAACATTTAAGACAACCAAACATGGAAAAATTGGAAAACATTACCAAACACACCCTTGGTCTTTAACAATTTTACCTTTTGGTAAATTAACCTTTGCCCCCACAATGAATCAGCGCAGAAGCACCTTCGCTTCTAGCTGACAAATCACCACTTGATCTTTGTCAATTGTCATTAATGCTCATACCTATTCCCATCTCAAAGATCATTATAGTCCAGCATTAAATTTAAATATACTACTCCCTCTGTCCAAAATAAGTATTCCCATCTCAAACCATCATTATAGTCCAGCATTAAATTTAAAAATACTATTCCCTCGTGTCCAAAATAAGTGAATTTTTAGTTGTTTTCACACAAATTAAGAAATCCACCTTCTAACATTAATTAGCAATAAAATTGATCATATTATATACTCCCTCCGGTCCAAAATAAGTGATTTTTTAACCTTTTTTTTTGTGGTCCAAAATAAGTGATTTTTTCAGATTTCAAGAATGAATTAGTTATTTTTTTCCTACATTGTCCTTGGAGTAAATAGTATTGGAGTATGTGTTAGGGAGTATTAATGTGAAGAGATAGCAAAGGTTAATATGGTCAATCTCATTGCTAATTAATGCTAAAAGGTGGATTTCTTAATCTGTGTGAAAACAGCTAAAAAATCACTTATTTTGGACCGGAGGGAGTAACCTTTAATTACTATCTCTTCACATAAACACTCCTAACACATACTCCAACACTATTTACTCCAAGGGCAATGTAGGAAAACAAATTAATTCTTTCTTGAAATCTGAAAAAATCACTTATTTTGAACCACAAAAAAAAAGTCAAAAAATCACTTATTTTGGACAGGAGGGAGTACTCCCTCTGTTCACTTTTTCTTGTCCACTATTGACTTTCCACACGCCTTAAAAAATAATATATATAGTTCATACTTTACCATCATACCCATATTAATTGGTATATAATCTTAATGGATTTGAAAATGATTTGGAATGAGTAATTAATGCAAAGGGTAAAATAGAAAACATAAATTATTTTTCTCTTGATATGCGAAAGTGAACAAGTAAAAGTGAAAATTTATTTTTAGAATTGTGGATAAATAAAGTGAACGAAGGGAGTATTAATTCTTTTCTACTTAGTTAAAGTAAAGGGTGATGGCCCAAAAGGTAAGTGAATTTACGCGGGTGAAAGGTGGAATCGCAGCTTCAAGATACACTTCCCTTAACGAAAAAAGAGATATTCTTCCTTCCCAAAGCATTGTTACGTTAATTTCTAAAAAGTTGAATTTCATGTGAAATAAGACGAGAACAAATTCACCATCTGAAGATAACCTTTTGAGATTTAGAAACGACAGGACAAACACTACAAAGTTAAAATTGTTGAGCTGAGCTGAGCTGATATTGATTTTAATGATTAATAAATATGTGTAAAAGAATCAGGTCTTTTGAAGTCCGTTGATCAGAAGCTGAAAATTCTTTCCTAGTGCAAGTTAATTTGAGCTAGAAAATAATTTCTATTGAAAGCCGGTTCCCTTAAAAATTAACTTTGAGGGCGAAGAGAGTATGGTAACGATTGGAGGAATTCGTGGTCAACAAGGATTCATCTATTATGAAAATACTTGTATGGAAAGAAAAACGCATGAAGGGGCTTTTAAGGAAATAAAGGATTTGTTTTACTTAAGATCGTGACCAAATTATTTTAAGTTTTGGAGCTAAAAATAAAAAAGGATTTGGCCAACCTCACTCCTATAGAAAGTATCATATTACTAATATTGAAGATTATCGCTATTTCGCACAAACATAGAATTTATTCAAGGCAAATAGCAATTATAGCAAGCAGGCACTTTCAAGGATCCAAGCTACGCAACTGAAAAACTTGTTCTTGAAGACAAAGCTATTTAGTTTTAGTTGTTGTTGAGTCATGATTCACTGTTCTTTAATTGTAATCTATTTTGCTTTTGAGAAATATATTATTAGGTTATCAAATTTGATGATTTTGTTTAGCTTTCGAGACTAAAGTTTATACTCTTAAAAGTGGTAAAGGTACTAGAGTTAATCCCTTTGGTTATCGAGTTTAACCTAAAGTTCAGTACAAATGAGTTGATTGTAGGGGTTGAGGTACTAGAGTTTATAGTCCCTTGGTTATTGAGTTATAACCTAAAATCACTACTTGAAGTTAGTGAAGTTTTGAGACACATCTTACAAGTGTTGGTCGTGATTTTAACTACCTTGAGCAAAAAGATTTTGCACGTATTACTATGTTATTTAATTGTCACACTTCACTTTTATTTTGCGTCTAGAATTCTTAGATTGTGACGACTCGGTAGATCCTTTTGAGCACTAGCCATAATTTCTGCGTTCCGAGACCTCTCATATCTCCATTTGGTATTATATGACTTGCTTGCATGGTCCGTGTCATTTTTTGAAAAGTTTATATGTAAATTTTTGATGAAAAAGTGATTTTTAACTTAAAATAAGGTTTGGGTTATGTAACGGCCTGACCGGTCATTTTCTTTAATTACGCTCCGTTTTCCCTTTTGATGCTTCACACATAAGTGTTTATGATTTTATGACTTGAGGGGTTGCTTAGTTTCATTCCGGAAAGCTTTCGGGTTTATTTGGACCCTTTGATTCGTGACTAGGAAGCCTAAGTTAGGAATGTTGACCAAACTTGACATTTGTGGAAACGACCCCGGAACGGTATTTTTATGGCTCTGATAGCTTCGTGTCGTGATTTCGGACATGAGAATATGCCTGAAATTGATTTTGGAACTCCATAGGTTGATTTGTGTTGTTTCACCAAAATTTGGCAATTTGAAGTTGAAAAGTTTGACCATAGGTTAACTCTTAGCTATCGAGTTTGGAATTTGTTTTTGGGACTTGGAATAGGTCCGTTATGCTATTTAGAACTGCCTGTAAAATTTGGTATCATTTGGAGCTGAATTGATGGGATTCAGACATCTTGTTATAATTCCAGAAGTTTTTGAAATTTACTTTGAAACTTATGCCTTATAGTATTCGATTTGTAGTTTTAGATGTTATTTTTGTGTTTTGATCACGCAAGCGAGTTAGTATGATGTTTTTAGACTCATGAAGATGTTTGATTTGGAGCCCCGAGGGCTCCGATGAGTTTCAGACATATTTTAGGGTTGATTGAACTGAAAATGAACTGCTGGTGCTTAGTTATCGCAATTGTGAGCAC